CCTCCTCCTCCTCCTCCTCCTCCTCCTCCTCCTCCTCCTCTTCCTCCCCGTCATCCTGGAGGAAATACAGACCTTCACGCTCCAGGCTCCAGGAGGAGGAGAAGAAGCAGGATGAGGAGGAGGAGGAGGAGGAGGAGGAGGAGGAGAAGGAAGAGACGGAGGAGGAGGACCTTGGTACGTTTGAAGGAGGAGAAGGCGAAGGAGGAGAAGGAGGAGAGGGAGGGGGAGACGAAGGGGGCGCGAAGCGCATGATAGAATGCATCGCAAAGCGCTCGAGAAACAAAACATCAGTACAACGCTTTGGGGGGGGGCAGGCATAACGCATTTTTCATTTCAAAAACTTCTGTTCGCAACGCATGTTTTTCCTACAAGCCAGTTGAAATCAGACATAACAACAAAACTAACTAGAACGCAAATTCCACAACTAGAACCACTCCTAACCTAACTTCCCAGTAACCTACACGCTGTAAACACCGCTTCAAACAACAAACTTCCGTATCTTCCACAACTTGAACCGTTCAAGCTATGTAAGATCTGGCAGATCAAGTTAAAATCTGGAAGGTCAAGTTAAGATGTGGAATATCAAGTTTGCATGATCTACCACAACTTCCCCACAACTACCAGAACTAGTTGTGGACATCTCAGTATAGCTTAGCTTTAACACACAATTTCCCCCCCCCCCTCCGGCGTCCCGCCGGCGCCCGGAGGCGCCGCGCGCGGGAGTTCCGAACCAGGCGGCGCCGGCGCGCTTTACGAACCTGGGCCGGCCGCGCTGGCGTGTATTATTATTTGAAACGGGGCCGCGCCGTCTCGCGTTGCAAATGGGCCCGGCCGAGCCGGCGCGTTTTGCATGTCCGGGCCCGGCCGCGCCGGCGCGTGCAAATTTGGGCCTGGCCGCGCCAGCGCGTTTTGCAAATCCGGACCCAGGCCGCGCCAACGCGCGCAAATCTAGGCCGGCCGCGCCACCTCTCGCGGGCCCCGGAACCGCCGGAAGTCCACCCGGCCGGCCGCCAGCGGGCCCGCGGGCGGGTCGCGGCGCCCCCCCCGGAGGGCCCCGGCGGCCCTCTGGCGAGCCCAGGCCCGAAATTGTTTTTTCAGATCAGCGAAACGATTTCTCCGCCCCCGCGCAAGGGCCCAGATTCACCCATCTTAACTGCGCGCTGGCCTGGCGGGCGGGGCCCCGCCGCTTGCTCGGCCCCGATAAAGAAGCTGCAACCGGCAGAAAGCGCCGCGCGCCATGGAGTCCGCGGGCCGCCCTGTAGACTACAAGAAGACGCTGGCGCTGCGACCCTGCATTTATGGCCCCCGACACTAGGCGCTGGTTTCGCGCAGCGCGGCCCCGCGCCCGCGAACCTCAAGCAATGCGGCGCATCGCAGTGATGGTGGCAATGCGGCACATTTGTAGCGCGCGTCCTGATCAACTCGCAAATTGATATTACGTATACGTTGGGAAACTATTTCCTACTTGACACTACTTTGATACTACTTTTTCCTACTTAAACCTATTATGTTCTATGTTTCTATATTGGAAAACAACTTGTCCCTACTTTCTTCTATCCCATATTGATCAACATGGCTGGTTGCTGTCTAAAGATTCACTGTCACAACCTTAGGGCCTCCTGGGGCCCCTTGGGGTTTCCTGTGGCCTCCTGAAGCCTCCTGGGGCCTCGTGTGGCCTCCCGGGGCCTCCTGGAGCCTCCAAGGGTCTCCTGGGGAGGATTCGTGCTCCAGGAGAGGCACAATATACAGGCACAAACCTATATAAGACACTGCGGAGTGGAGCCGCACGAGAAGGGCAATCTATAGGAACAAGCGTAGCACACCAAGGAATTGTGCACAGATGGGAGACCCAGAATATAGGGACATACGTAAAACACTTAGGATTGGATACGCAAGGGAAGGGCAACCTATAGAAACATACGTAGCGCGCCAAGGATTCGTGCTCTACGTGAGGCAATAGCCATACGAATATACGTGCACACGTGGGATTGGAGCCACTCCTGTGGCCTTTTGATGTCTCCTGCTCCTGGGGCCTCTTGGGGCCTCCTGGGGCCTCCTGGACTTTCTTGGGGCCTCCTGGGTCCTCATGGAGCCTCCTGGGCCTCCTGTGGCCTCCTGTGGCCTCCTGATTTCTTCTGGTACCGCTTGTGGCCTCACGGAGCATCCTGGAGCCTGCTGAAGCCTCGTGTGGCATCCTGGAGAGGATCCGTGCCCACGGGTCTGGCCAGCAAAATCGGCAAACCGTTCGAGGCATCCTAAAAGTCGTGCCCCCCTTGAGGGCGAAAATGAGCGCCTCGCTCGCGACATTCTCGGAATCTGCTACGACAGCGGATGATGGTGGGAATCAACACAAGCACCCTTCTCGAAGCATCCCTGCCATTTTGGCGCGAAAGGAAGTGTGCAATACCCCCTGACGGCTCCCCTGTGGGTGCGAAAATGGGCGCCTCGCTCGAGACATCCTCCAAACGTGTTCCAACAGCGCAGGATGCTGGGAACCAAGACAGGCACTACGCTCGAGACATACCCGCGAACGGAGGAGTGCAATACCCCCTGATGGCTCCCCCTTAGGGATGCTGGAACCCGCGCCTCGCTCGAGACATCCTCAGAATGCACTCCGCCCGCATCATCATCCTCCTCCTCATCAGCAGCAACAGCATCAGCATCATCATCTGCAACACCATCATCAGCAGCAGCATCATCATCGTCATCGTCAGTTTAATCATTATCATCCGCATAGCCACCATCATATCATCATACAACACATGGCATACCATTACGTGGCAACGCATGGCATGCCATATCATATCATAACATAACATCGCATATCATACCACATCATACCATTGCATGCCATGTTACACTAAACATGCAAAGCATGCACCACCATACCATATAATAACATAAACACTAACATAGCGTAGCATACACTAACATACCAGAACATAACATGAGACGGACGAGAAGGAGGGAGGAGAGACTGAAGGAGTTGGCACGGTCGGATTAATAACAAGAGCCCCAGCCAGTGGATGTGGGGGATTACAAGAAACCCATCCTTTGGATGTGGGGAACAAGACCCCATCCTTTGGATATGGGAACCAATCCTAACATACATTAAGATAATGACATACGTCGCATAACATGGCATACCATCGTAACACATACCGTATCACACCATAGCGCAACCCAGCACAGCATGTCGTACAATAACTTGGCATGGCAGCGTCGCATAACATACCATGTCATACCATAACAAAACGTAACATGCCGTTCAATACCATAACATACCGTACCATAACATAGCATGACGAATGACGAGAGAAATAGGAGGGAGGTATGAGGAACCGGCGCGGTCGAGGTAATAACAATAACCCCATCCTTTGGACGTGGGGAACATTTTGTACGCAATATCGTGTAGAATTGATACGATTGCCTGTAGGTCCCGCTGATGGCGATCTCACTCCAGACCTGGCGCATGCGGACGTCGAACATGGTAGGGGTCCATTCCTCCTCCTTGGCGAGCACCGAGAAGAACTCCTCCGCTTCCGCGTAAAGGCGTTTCCCGACCGCCACCCGCACGGAGACGACCGTGGCGCAGTACGCGAACAAGAACGCCCACATGTCCAGGACGCCCTTGCTCATCTCGAACCTGTCGCTCAGGGTCTCCAGCAGAGCCCCCCCGACCTTGGGGAAGATCTCGGACGGGATCATAGCCTCTTGGAGCGCCTGCGCGAGCTTCGAGAAGGCGTCGGACATCATGGACTCGCGCACGCCGGCGCCAAGTGACTCTGCTTTGCCGATGACCTGCAGCGTCCGCTGCAAGTGCAAAGTCAACTGGTCCATGTCCGCGTGTGGGAAGTCGTCGCCCAGCTCTGGGTACTTGGTCAGCAGCCTCCGGTAGAAGTCATCGCCAAAGCCTCGCATGGACTGGAGCGCCGCGGCCTGGCGCTGCACCACCACGGCGTCGGGAGACTGCAGCGTGCCGACGAACTTCTGGAAGACGTCATGGGCCTTCTGCATGACGTGGATTTGGAAGAAGCGGCTGATGGCGCCGTCCTCGCCCATCTCCAAGTCCACCCCGTCATGGTCCTTGTAGAGGTATGGGCTGTGGGTCCTAATGGCGAAAATGAAGGCCTCCTTCAACAAGGCCCAGTGCTTCGGCCGGATGCCCATCAGCGTGTAGTGGGACATGATGCCGCAAGGGCCGTCGCCGAAGTCCCGCGTCACGCAAGCCGGGAAGCCGGCTGTGTAGCTCTCCCTGCCGTGGACCTCCGTCCTCCGGTCCAGCGCGCGGGCACACTTGTCGATCATCTGGAACATGTCGTGCGCCACCTCATCGAACTTGAGCCGCAGCACCTCGTAGATCTGCGGGTCAAGGTGGATCCAGC